AAATAAACAAAAATTTCATGTACAAATCAAAGATTTGAAAAAAGATAAAGTACGATCTGAAGAATTTGATTATGTTATTATAGCTACTGGACATTTTTCAACCCCTAATATACCATACGTTGATGGAATTGAAACATTTCATGGTCGTATATTACATTCTCATGATTTTCGTTTTGCTCAAGATTTTATTGATAAGCATGTACTACTTATTGGTAATGGATTTTCAGCTGAAGATATTAGTTTACAATTATACAAATATGGAGCAAAATCTATTACACTATCATATCGAACTAAGCCAAAAGATTTCAAATGGCCTGATAAAATTAAAGAAGTACCATTAGTCGTTAAAATTGATAACGAAATAGTATATTTTAATGATGGCTCGTCTGAAACAGTACATGCAATAATTTTTTGTACTGGCTATTTATATTATTTTCCATTTCTCGATGATAATCTTCGTTTAAAATTATCATCGAACTGTTTTTATCCTCCGAATTTATATAAAACAATATTTTGGTTAAATCAACCACGTTTACTCTATTTGGGTATGCAACGTATGGGACTTAGTTTTAATATTGGTAATGTTTTAGCATGGTATGCTCGTGATGTTATTCTAGGAAAAGTTATTTTACCTTCAACAAAAGATGAAATGAAATCTGATATAGCAGAATGGCAAAAAAAACAAAAAGGAATTCAAAACTTTACTGATTATGTTAATTTTCAACGAGAAATTGTTTTGGATTTAATCAATGCAACAGATTATCCACGCTTCGATATTCATCGTATGAATCAATTATTATTTGAATGTATGAAAACAAGATTCGAGAATATGCTCACCTATAGAGAAAAAACATATGCCTCAGTATTAACTAATACAATGGCCAAACCACATAATACACCCTGGTTGAACGAAATGGATGATAGATTAGAAAATTTTATTCAAAAATAATGTTAGATCAAATATCCATAGTAAAGGAGGATGCGGGTGAGGTGTGAAGAAAAACAATACTTAAAGCGAAACTCATCATCACACTCACTCACCTGTTAACAATTTTCTAACCTAATGATTTTGGTATCTGTAAAGAAAACGGATCTCTCATTAAAAAACCTGGTAACGAAATATTATTGCTCTCGTTTCTATACCTTTTGATGACATCGTAATTATGCAAGTTGAGTCTTTCTTTTTCGTCTACTCATTGATTTCATTGCATGTACGAATAGAAAACAGTTCTATAGATTCGCAGTCTGAAATGAGGTATGAGACTCTAGAAGACATTCAACAAAAACCAAACAAAGGTAATTCATAAGTAGATTTTTTCATTTGGAATGTACTTTTGCATTCAAACAATTCAACATTTCTTTATGCCTAGTACACAAACAGGCATCGAAATAATTTGAAAAGAATAGAAACAAAAGTGTAATGCCTTTTTTCGCTCACTCTTGAAGGTGTGAGTAAAATCAATACTCATACCAATAGCCACATCCAACAGCTAAAAGAAGCAGACCAATACCCAAGCAAATAAAAAATTTGGAAAACGTGATTAAACGCACAATTGAGAACCGCAATTGTGAGTCATTAACGGTCATATACAAAACGCGGAAAATGCTTCTTTTTGCGCAAAATTTTCACTTTCAGCGGGTGAAAATGATGCAAAACTACACTGTTTCAGTGTTAAAATGTCGTGTTTTTAGGCTTAGAACAAAAGAGCGTTTTAATACTGAAAAAGTGTAGTCATGCACTGTTTTCAAGCTCCAAAAGTGAAAATTTTGGGGTGTGAATGTGGATATCTGTTTTTTTAAACACTCAAATCCACACACACCCACACCGTCTATATTATTCAACAATATTTAATTCTATATAATCGAATAAAATATTACGACAACAATATTCTCGTTTTATTGTAAATCCAAAATAAATCTCCAATAATTCGAATACCTTTATTTTACCCAGAATTTCATTAGACTCATCAGTATTACCACGAGTGGATGTGGATAGGTGGGCGTTTGTAGATCTTGGGGTGTGTGGGTGGGGTGTGGGTGTGGGTGTGGGTGTGGGTGTGGGTGTGTGGGTGTGGATGTGGGTGAGGGGTGTGGCTGGGTGTGGGGTGGGTGTGGGTGCCCGTGTGGGTGTGGGTGTGTGGGTGGGTGTGGGTGTGGGTGGAGATGGGTGTGGGTGTGGGTGGGTATGGATGTATTTATTTCTTCCGGGTATACCCACACGTACACCCACCCCACACTCAGTCGCACCCACACTCACCCACACCCACACCCACACCCACCCACACCCACACCCACCCACACCCACACCCCCACACCCACCCACACCCACACCCACACCACCACCCACCCACACCCACACACCCACCCACACACACCCACATCCACCCACACCCACACCCACACATCCGCACCCACCCACACCCACACCCATACCCACACTCACAGCCACACCCACACCCAACCTTGTACAATGATTCACTGAAACGAAAATCACCTACAGCAATCAATACTATTTATGTTCATAAAATATGTTCGAACACCATAGAAAGTTGGAAAAATCCAATGACAGAATACTTTCTTGTGTGAAGTAGAATGAAAACAGAACGAAAAAAATATTGTGTCATTACATGTGATTTTTTTCTTGCAAGGGTCACATTCTGTGCATTTGTTTTTACCCAGTAGACGCTACTAGTATATGAAACAAGTGTTAATATCAAATAAATTCATTTTAGATCATTATCGTTTTCTTGATTGTGCTACATACAGTAAACTAATGAGATATTGATACTTGTGAAATACTGATTTATTAAAACACTTTAAAACATCTTGAAATCATCGAATTTCATAATAATTTCTATATTCGATATAATTATTACTAGAATATTAAAACAACAATAAGGTAAGATTATAGGAAAGATCATATGATTAGTTTGAGTAATGAGATCGAATATTTACTTTCTTGATGATATACATGGAATGAACAAATCATTTTCTTAGTTGTTTGTAAAAAAAATGTTTTTCTTGTTAAGATTTGTCTAATAAAAAGCAACAAGTAATGACAGATGTCGGAAGACTGTTCTAGTGCAAGTTTTTTTGTTTGTGTGTTTCTGATAATCAGTGTCATAAGAAGCATTATTCATTTGATTTTTAATCTGTAGGAATGAAAAAAAGGAAAGTTTGAATTTATGTCAAATGCATTAGTACTGTATTCATGTATTTAACAATAAAACAAACAATCATGACAAAAATACTGAAAATATTCAGAAATTTATTTAAGAATTTCTTCAAACCAAATTATATGGAAATTCATGTCCGTATCCGATCTACATCCCTCTCGAGATATTTGTAGAAAACAGGGTAACCGAGAAATTTTTAACGTAGAGACGCTTTTGAAAAATTTATAATTCCAATGTGATCGATCATATTGATTATATGCAGATGTATGTATGGAGCTGAATGAGCAGTCTTTCGATAGATAGAACAAATGATACATTTTTTCATTAATGTCCGCGATCATACAATTGATCACATATACATGCCACAGATTTTAGCTTAGTATAGGGCATATAATATCATATTTTTTTCAATTATATATAAACTTTCGAGTTGAAATAAACTAATTAATAACAATCTCTATTTTTTTTTTTGCCATACAAACTTTCATGCAAGGGAAACAGCCGACTTCAAGTTCGAAGTTTCTGCAGTTTTCCTTTTGCTTTCACGTTTGAAAAAAGAAGAAACAATCTTTACGATAATTTACCACTAGATTCATACTCTATGATTTTATCAAATCGTAAACATATATTACTGTAAGATTCTTGCATAATCTGAAGGTTGATATCGTACAATATCTTATATTGATAAATAAGATATCACCTTTTGGATTTCACTGCTGTCATCGACTTCTTTATTTTCTAAAAAATATATTTACTTTTTTGTGTTTACATGAGATAAAGTAGGGTGGCCAATGAGAATCCAATAGTTTTCTTCCACTTGCAGTAGGAAAGCTGAAAGAAAAGAAAGGAGAATAATGATATTTGGAAAATCAGCAGAAGTTCCAATACAGTAAGAAGGTGAATCATAAAATACATTCGAAGACATTAAGAAAAGATTTATCTGGTTATTATAAGATTGTATAATAATAGCGTACACAGTTTTATACAATTTTCATATGATCTTGTAAGAATTGTATAAGATCCAAAGAGCAAAATGTTCGATCAGGATAGTTCTGTTTGTTATGAAAATTGTCATTGCCTAATTCCAAATAGGTTATAAATAAACAATTGATTCTTAATTTTTTAGGCTTTTCAATGAGTTCCAATGATATTCAAATGAAAATGGTTCGACAAAGATCAGGTTTGACATTCAGTTTTGAAATATTTTCGTTTTCAAAAATAGTTTATCCACTTCGAAGTTGAACCAGTAACAAATAGAAAGCGATTTCATGGAAACAATCATGGTAATACCAATCAAATCTCTATGTTAACGACATTACCTGATGAATTACTACTTCATGTTTTATCTTACTTGAACATGGTCGATATTTGTAAAGCATTCTATGGTTATCATCAACGTTTCGATAATCTAATATATGAGTCTGCTCGACATATAACGTTGCCCAGTAGTACGGATAATTCATGGATCGATCAATATCTCCCGCAATTCAAATATGCTATTAAGACAATATGTCTCAATGAAAAATCTGTAGAATTCGTCTTTGCTAACAAGCACTCATTTTCAAATCTTCGATTAATTAATCTTCAAGGAAATGGTTGGAATATGGGTCTTATGTGCGAAGACAACTCTCCTTCAGTTGTCTTAGCATCTTCTCTACGTGTTCTTCAACAAATCAATCGTTCTGATTATGGACTCTCTATCTATATGGAAACTCCTATCAATTATGTAAGTTAAGAAATTAATGCTACTACATATATTATTTTTCTAATTGGTATTTCAGGGTAGTGATGATTATTGGGCAAGTTTATCCTGTCCATCTATTCAACATTTATCAATAAAGAAATGTTGTGTAGATGATATATTTATCATAAATCATTTGACACCAAACTTAATCCATTTAAATATCGATTTTTTGCTATCAGGTTGGGACATAGATCATCATCTCCAAAAATTGAATCATACGCTAAGAATGTCACGTTTAGTTAATCTTAGTATAAAAACAGGAGAGTATATGAGTTTTTATCAACTGGAAAAAGTTATCCATAGTTTTAAAACATCACTTAAGAAACTAAAGTTCAGTATTAATTGTTGTGATCAAATTGATGGACATTGTTTAGAAAAATTATTCAAGTCTTGTGAAAAACTTAATAAATTTGCATTTCTTCTTCAATGTATTGATAAAGTCAATAGGAATGATTTTCAATATTCTTTTCAAAGTGAATGGTGGCTGGATAAATGTCGTCCATCAGTATATATTCAACATGATGATAACGATCGTACGATTGTTACCACATTGCCACTGTGTTTTTCATTCAATTTCAAGAATTCTCTAAATAATTGGTACATCAATAAAGGATATGAAGATTTATCATTTGTTCGTTTTCCTACAATTAATAAAATTCATTTCGTTAATGATAATCATCAATCGATTAGTCTTGAATATTTGTATTTTATTAATTGTGTATTTACTTCATCGAATCAAACTTTATGTTTTAATTATTGTCATTTAGAATTAGTAGATATACTATTTTATATGGTAAATTTTATTTTTTACATAATAATATTATTTTCGTTTTTAATTACAGCTTATGGATGATACATCAATAACACCAGTATTACCTAATGTACATCATTTTATTATTGGTTCGGAAAACAAACTTGATGCATTAACATTATGTGTTTGGATTCTTCTTGCAGCAAATCTTACAAGTTTAGATATATCCAACTTGACGACTTTCGATAAAATAGAATTAGCAGAAGAATTGAGACAAA